AATTGCAAGCAAGACATCTGCCCTGAACCCTGTCCAGTGGAACCACAATGTTGCGAGATTCCATGTTGCGAGCCTCCAAAGTGTGAGCCCCAATGTTGCGAGACTCCAAAATGTGAGCCTGAGTGTTGCGAGACACCATGTGATCCTTGTCCACCACCATGTCCACAAGATCCCTGCTGCCCCGATATAAAAGATTGTATGCTCAAGGTAGTGGAATTCCTAACTTGTAAAGCGGCTGCTTGCCCACAGCCGTGTGTGGAGGAGCCACAATGCTGCGAGACTCCATGCTGTGAGCCTCAATGCTGTGAGACTCCACAATGTGAGCCCCAATGTTGTGAGACACCATGTGATCCTTGTCCACAACCATGTCCACAAGATCCCTGCTGCCCCGATATAAAAGAATGCATGCTCAAGGTGGTTGAATTCTTGACTTGCAAGGCAGCTGCCTGCCCAAAAACGTGTGTGGAGGAGCCCCAATGCTGCGAGACTCCGTGCTGTGAGGCTCCAAAATGTGAGCCTCAATGTTGCGAGACACCATGCGATCCTTGTCCACAACCATGTCCACAAGATCCCTGCTGCCCGGATATAAAAGAATGCATGCTCAAGGTGTTGGATTTCTTAACTTGTAAAGCGGCTGCCTGTCCACAACCATGTGTAGAGGAGCCACAATGCTGCGAGACTCCATGCTGTGAGCCTCAATGCTGTGAGACTCCACAATGTGAGCCCCAATGTTGCGAGACACCATGTGATCCTTGTCCACCACCATGTCCACAAGATCCCTGCTGCCCCGATATAAAAGAATGCATGCTCAAGGTGTTGGATTTCTTAACTTGTAAAGCGGCTGCCTGTCCACAACCATGTGTAGAGGAGCCACAATGCTGCGAGACTCCATGCTGTGAGCCTCAATGCTGTGAGACTCCACAATGTGAGCCCCAATGTTGCGATTCACCATGTGATCCTTGTCCACAACCATGTCCACAAGATCCCTGCTGCCCCGATATAAAAGAATGCATGCTCAAGGTGGTTGAATTCTTGACTTGCAAAGCAGCTGCCTGCCCAAAACCGTGTGTGGAGGAACCCCAATGCTGCGAGACTCCGTGCTGTGAGCCTCAATGCTGTGAGACTCCAAAATGTGAGCCTCAGTGTTGCGAGACACCATGTGATCCCTGTCCACCACCATGTCCACAGGATCCCTGCTGCCCAGACATAAAAGAATGTATGCTCAAGGTGGTGGAATTCTTGACTTGCAAAGCAGCTGCCTGCCCACAACCGTGTGTGGAGGAGGCACAATGCTGTGAGCCACAATGTGATCCTTGTCCACCACCATGTCCACAAGATCCCTGCTGCCCCGATATAAAAGATTGCATGCTCAAGGTGTTAGATTTCTTAACATGCAAAGCGGCTGCCTGTCCACAACCGTGTGTGGAGGAGCCACAATGCTGCGAGACTCCGTGCTGTGAGCCTCAATGTTGTGAGACACCATGTGATCCTTGTCCACCACCATGTCCACAAGACCCCTGTAGCCCAGAAATAAAAAATTGTATGCTCAAGGTGGTGGAATTCTTAACATGCAAAGCGGCTGCCTGCCCAGAACCATGTGTGGAGGAGCCACAATGCTGCGAGACTCCGTGCTGTGAGCCTCAATGTTGTGAGACACCATGCGATCCTTGTCCACCACCATGTCCACAAGATCCCTGCTGCCCCGATATAAAAGATTGCATGCTCAAGGTGTTAGATTTCTTAACATGCAAAGCGGCTGCCTGTCCACAACCGTGTGTGGAGGAGCCACAATGCTGCGAGACTCCGTGCTGTGAGCCTCAATGTTGTGAGACACCATGTGACCCCTGTCAACCCGCATGTCCACAAGATCCCTGTAGCCCCGATATAAAAGAGTGTATGATCAAGGTGATGGATTTCTTAACTTGCAAATCCGCCGCCTGCCCCAAACCTTGCAAAACGGAGACTAAATGCTGCGTGAAGCCATGTGAGCCATGTAAACCAGCATGTCCACAAGACACCTGCTGCGATATTAAAGATTGCTTTCTCAAGTTGGCAGATTATTTAAACTGCAAATATCCGGACTGTCCGAAAAAATGTGAAAAAAAAACATGCTACTCAGCAAAACCCGTTTGCAAGCCATGCCCACAGCCTTGTGAAAATCCTTGCGATGACTTATCTCCGTGTCTCCTCAAAATTGCCAACGCGCTTCGCCAATGCTGCGGATCCAAGCCACAATCTAATCCATGCTCCCGAGCTACAAAGTCTACAAGGCATACGAAGTCAACCAGATCAACGTGTGTGCCCACACAAGTTATTCTGAAACCTCTGGTTTTCAAGCCAGTTGCAACGACACAAACTAAGTGCAGAGTACCGTCAACGAAAAAATGCCCCAAACCAACTCAATCGGCTGTATGCAACAACCCCTGCAAGCCAATCAAGCGAGTCAAATCTACCAAAAAGTCAACAAGGCCAACAGTAAAGGCATCGTTCGCAAAACCAGTGATTCTGCCTACAGGACCGGAATCCCGTCCTTACCTCATGCGCCTCATTCAGAAAGTTGATCCTGAGCTAGCTGTTTGCCTCAACAATTCCTTATGAATCACCATATGAAAATCAACAATTTAATAAAATAATTGATCGGTCTATTTCTTGCTTTGTACTTTAATGGTATGTGTACTATGGTGATCCGAAAGACTTCAAACTTACTAACATCTGACACATGCCGTCTTTACAGTAAATTTACTATTTATATATGTGAAACCAATCTTAAGCTCCTCATCTCAATACACTACGAATAGGCTATTAAGGCTCTTCTCTCTCTCTCTAACACACACACACACACACACACACGCACACCCCATCCTGGCTGACGCGAAACAGTCAACTGACCATTAAGCTAATACTCACCGAACTGATGCCAACTATCAAAAGATATAATACACTTTTCCATACATTCTGCTTTCAACACAGGTTCGATCCACTCATCCCTTCTTCCCTTTGCCATAATGACACTTCATAGCGCTACTTTCCTGACGTAGCCGAAACTAATTACCACACTTACACTCTCATTTCGTCACCTATTCACTTCATCCCAATCTCAACAAGGCGACTTACAATCTATAAGTTAGATCTCTCACTCCACTTTGACAGTCCTCAACTTCTACTTCAATTGGCACAGCTCAATCCTCTCAAATATCTCCAGCCAGAAGGCTCTGGAGGACATTAGATACACTCTATCCTACTCGTTCCATCTACATACATGGGGAAGACCAACGTTTTCGTTTTTTATAACAAGGTTGAGGATATATCCTAGTGGAACCATATATACCAATTGGTGGGGTTTCTTAACAATACCGAATAGGCACCAGTGACGATTATTAACTGGGGGTTGGGTATAGAAGTCGTACCTTCAAGAAGTAAATACATAAACAGCCCACACTCCGCTTCGTATGGCAGTAAAACAATGCCTTTATTCAAGGCTTCGTTTCATATTCCAAACCAGGCTACCACTTACAGGCCATAGATCCGATTGCCAACGAGCCGTTGTTCTCACTATAGTTAACGTTGAAATGGAATGTTGTGCCACGCCATGTCGCATCTATGAGCAGAATGGTACTTAACTTTGGATGTTATCCGTGAATGATATTACCAATCAGACGATTCGACATTTCGTACATGTACGATGCACTCGAGACTTCTATTTCAAGCGCGTTCACCTCCATGGATAACAAGCTAACTCAAAGAAGGGAAACAAGGGCCAATCTAATTATAACCGTCATACTTTCGGAAGAGGGGAGCTGGCAGTCGTGGTGTTTCAGATAAATATCATGACCTGTGTGTGTATATGCGTGTGTTTGTGTGTGGATGTGGGTGAGGGTGTGGATGTGATTACCATTCTACATGCCGATGCATGGCACTATGTAGCACCATCGTTTAGGCGAAGTGGAATCCCCTCACATGATTATGTGACATTTCGGAATTACAGTCCAAGTGCCGAAATTAGAAGCACCGACAAATAGCGTAAGTCCTCGTGAACATAGAAACATTTCCTTCAATTCAGCCACAATCACATACAGTAAACTGCAAAGCATTCCAAGTCAAACAAGTACTTCCGAGGATACACCGAGTTCTCACGAATAATGAGAAAAAAAACCAGAAAACTGAATAATAACTTCCTCAAGGGGAAATAGTTTCCAATTACTCAATGGTAAATTCTCTTCTTCACAGTAATGGAAAAGACGTATCATTCAATTTGTGCTAATCCTCGGGCCTCCTCTAATCAATCCAACATCTCAAGTCGACAACTAAATCGCAAGCGTCCTGATGATTTATCCTAAGGACAAGCTGCTTCTCATTTAAAGTGCAAGAGCTATCAACATGTGACATGCCATTAGCAAAGAGTTAACTTGGAGTAGGTAGTTTTGAGGTTTAAATGAAAATATCACTTGACGCATTTTGTAAATGAGAAAATTACGCATATGATAGTACTGTTGAAGAAATGATTAAAAAGTCCGATTTCGTTCAAATGATGCCCGATGACGAAAAAAGTGCTAAAAGTGCAATCGAGGTAGTATAAAAAGAAGCAAACAGAAATTTGATGCATCGACTCATCGAAGCAATCAAAGAATGTGCTCGAAACAAGCAGCTCCAGTAGAAAACTGCTGTCCACAAGAACCCCCATCCTGCTGTGATATTAGGGATTGCGTGCTCAAGTTGGTGGAATACCTAGACTGCAAAACAACTAACTGCCCCAAACCGTGTGTAGTGGAGCCTCCATGCTGCGAGACCCCAAAGTGCACACAGCGGACAACTGCCCAAAACCGTGCATGGAGCAGATGTTAACCAAGAAGAAGTGCCCTTAGATTGTTGTGTGTATTGAGTGCTAAGAAAAGTAAAATCCCCCTCTATGATATCTAATGGCAACCTTGCAAACCTCCATGTTCACTGCTCCCCATCTTCTAATATCAAAAAATGCACGCTTAATTTGCTGCTATGCTTAAACAAGTAATTCATCCAATCTTAGCACTCAGAATGAGTTCGAATATTTATATTTCTAATATAATTTTTCATATAACAAAAACTCCAGTCTTTTTCATCTTCCTAAAAACATACCTATGGAAAAGAAACACACATATTCTAGTTATTATAGAAAAAAATCATTCGAACTCAACGAGAATGTTCTACACTAAACTGTAAAAATAATTTACATCTCATAAAATGTTTGGAAAGAAACTATAAAGCAGAAATATTTACTTTGACAACTTCGAAAATTTGTTGTAATATGTTACGTTCAATTCCCAATATTATAACAATATAACTCGATCGTCATTTCAAATCCTAATACCCTGATGATAACATGCAAAAATTAACTTCTACGCCTTTAAATTTGACATAGATAGTTATGTGTACAAATTTCATTACAATTTATTATCTTGAAATGCATCTAAAATAGACGAAATGGAATAATTGTAGGGAATTCTTCTAGCCACAATAGGGGGAAGTTATTGCTAAATAAGGAATTCTATTATTAGTGCAGAGAGCTAACCTCATTTCTGATTTTCTGTGATTCTGAGAGACTTCGGCTACATGATCGCTGAAATCGCCTATATCGATTTTCTATATTCATTTGTATGTCTAGATGGATTTTTGTTAAATGTGGATCTAAAATAAGATTGCAACTTTTAACCAACCGACTGACCATATTCTCACCTTAAGTACTAAGCAAAACGAGTTGATGTGATGTCTTCTGCGGAGTGCCGATATTCAGATATTTATTTTCGTTAATTAGTAAATAAAAGCACACAAATTGTTTACTACATTTATTTTATGCTTCCTTCCCAACTTACTTATAAAGTTGTTTCTTCCGAACTACTGAAACAAATTTGGAGGCAGAGAACGTTCTCCGCCAACTGGATATACCTACTTAAAGTTTCTTCCCTTAAAAATATTCCCTGTCCTCTCTCTCTCTCTCTAATCCAATTTTATTGAGGATAATTTGGGATTGCTAGCTGGAAAGATAAAAGTAGGGTTGAAGTGCCATAATTCACGGACTTAGATCTAGTATTGACATCTGATTCAATGCAATCACTTTCAAATGATCTCTTCAAGGGCAGTAATATATATATGACTGTGTAAAGAGAGGAGGGAATGAAAATGACAAATCTCATGGGCAAAAAGCCACTTCCTCTTTAGAACTAGGGCTTTTCACTCGCTTGTACAACGTGGCATAGTATAATTCATGCTAACACTGTTGGGAACCAAAGGAATACGTATTTTAAAATTTGTGAATATCAGGCTTACGCATCATTGGTAAATATCCGAGGAATATAGGACCTGGTGAAGAGAAGTATAACGGCATTCATCGAACAGAGACAAACTAAAACGCAATGGATTTTACAATCTCCTGATTCTGAGCAAAGCAGTGGGTCTAAAGAAAGATAGCTACATACATATCGTGATAAGTGCAATCAAAGCTGTTGAAATTGGCCCCTCCGCTTTATTCGCTCCGACAAATTGGCCAATTCGAATAGACGTAGAGACACAAAACCCAAGAGGAAACTACAGAATAAAAATGTCCGCCATTCAAATTCAAATGCCTTTATAAAGAGGACCTATTATGTCAATGGACTTACAGTACAGAAGAGCATAGACTCAACATTGTTAAGAATAGTCTGAACAGCCAAATATTGTTCTCCACGAATACCTATAAAATGATAGTATACACTTGGTTGGTGATATTTCCAAACTACTGAAATCATTATAAGTAGCTATAACACTAAACTCACCAGCAAGAATGCTACCCGACTCACAGACCCACCACTCAAGACCCAGCATCATCATTCCAGGAATCGCTAGCTTGAACCAAGTGCCCCAATCGTGCCACAATTCAACATGAATAGCTACGAGATTTAAGTAAAGCTTCGGATATCAACAAACCGAGAAAGGTAAAGATAGATAAAGAACTGCTTACCGTCCCAGGTTTTCCTATATATCTTCGAAATGTGAATGTAGACCACGATGACAATGAGTTGTGACAAAAATGCTATTGATTGGGATAGAGCAGATCCTCTGTATTTAAATAAAGCGAATAAATGATAACTACATCTACACATGGAAAAAAATGTTAAAGAAAAACTTACACGAATCCATATTGAGTGTAGTGGTAGAAGAGATAGTGAGATCCAAAGTTGACGATATTGCCGACAATACTACCTACTAATGGTGGATAAACCTTATTCTGAAAAATAAAGGAGGTGTATTAAGGATTCAGTTCCATAGTTAATTACCTGATTAAAAGGGGCAGGCAAAATCTGGGCCGATTTACGAATTGGGAATGGGATGGGCAATAAATCCTTTCTTACTTTCAATCAATACTTTAAATCCTGCCCTCAAAACGGACAGGACTAAACATGCGCGCCTATTTTTACTTACGTCGAGTAAAGGTAAAACTTCTCCAATAGAATTCAAGCATGCTTATTTAAAGTGGGCTTTCTGTTATCTTTCTACAAATACAAAGCGAACTTTGAACGCTACAACGAGCATTGCACATACTTAATTAACCCCTATGGCCGAGTATAGAAAAAGTCCCATGTCTAACTTTTATAATTGAGGGATAAATCCGTAATAGCAATAAAAACTACAATATGGCAAACAGGGGTGTGCAATAAACTTACCTACACGTAATGCACCCCGGACAACGCATACTCTTACGACAAACAAGTCAATAAACCGGCACTTGACTTTTGACTTCAAACTACCATGACCCGACAGTATGTCACATTCCACCACTTCTACAATACCCATCTTACCTTTTCTCTGCTTTGTGTCTGTCTGTCTCTTTTACATCTGTGACTCTCCTCTATTCCCCATCCCCTCTCGAAATTTCTCACTTTGGTGTTCCCCCCCCCCCTCTGTGAACCCCGAAGTCAGCTAAAGGGTTAATAATAACTGTCAAAACGCCTGCCATTTGAAATAAATATTACAAACTGTATATTTGTATCTGTTTAGGAAACTTTTAATTGGCTCCTCTAATAACGACAAGAAGTGGTCATTTTACATTGTCAGCGAGTTGCTAGTCGTGACTATTGAGGTTTGACTGAACGTGAGAGTTGCGTTGGTAACGACAAGTCCTCAAGTCAAAAGCTTATTGTACCCTCAAGTTGGCGAATACCTAACCAAGGGTGATAAATAAGGATGCCGGTTGTTACAGTTTTGATTGATATAATCTCAGACCATGACGAATATGAGTCCAATAGGATAAGAAGTTCCCCCGATAGGTTCAGCAAGACCGAGGTCAATAGAAGACCAAGGACCTCTAGTCGCCAACATTTTGTGTACACTTTTGATACAGTTCCCTTGGAATGAAAAATAGGTTCATCAAGAACGATTTCATCGGGTAATTTGCATTTACTACCTGCCAGTGCTAATCATTTAAGACAGTAAGCAAGTATGGATTTAGCCCAAATGTGGTTACAAGGCCCAAGACATTTTGTAGACTTGATCTTAATGGACTATTCATAGGTCCAAGAGGGGAGTAAACGTACAACAGCATTCCTTATGTCCCTCCAGTTAGTATAGCTAGTTTGTTTTGCGATAAATCAGGCAGGATGTCGGCATCGCTTGGTGATTGAGCACGGAACGACTTGAGGCGGGTAAAATGCCGGAGTGCGTGAGACCCGTTACTTCAACACTTTAGTCTTCCAAAATATCAACCAATCTCAGAACCCAATAAAAACACTTATACGCCCAGGAGTTAGACTTTACTCCAAAACTATTCCAGGTAAATTGCTAATTTTATTCTCCAAAGGTAAAAAAATTATCCATTTAATCCAAAATAGCACATCCAAGAAAAAAAATTGTCTGAATTCCAACTTTGGCAAATGGGCAAAAAGAGCTTAAAAAGAAAACGAATAAAGGTATAAATTTTGCGCCATTGAGGATAATTATGATTTATGCTCAATAACTGATAACAAAAAAATGGGTTGCATTATTCTTCACTCAATTTCAACCTTTATTCGTTCCAATTTAAAAGTAACGGAAATTCCATTACAATAACTTGCAAATGCACCTACCTGAGTTTGGATGTATTTTACTGCGATTTCATCAATCGTCAGAATCTACAAGGCAAATTGGAAACCAAATAACTTACATTATTATTTATTGAATAACTAGATCGCCAGTATCGCCTCTTATCTTAAAGAATTTAAACAGAATTCATCCAGCTATCATGGAGTGGTTGAAACATTGCGAGCACTAGTAATCTGTTCCGACGCCATCTTCGATCGATCATAATCTCATTATCCAAAAATAGTGCGAAATAATACAAACTTATATGTGTGAAGTGAGCGAAAGCAAGTAACTATAAACCAAATGATTCGAAGGAGAGGCACAGAAAAAAAGAAAGAGCAGCGTCAAAGTAACAAGAAGGTTCCCTTCATCGAACTGTTGGATTTTGATTGCCAAGTGCTCCCTAAATTAATATTTCATGTTACGAGATTTAAGTTCTGTGGTACGCAATTTCAGCAAATGCTTGGGTTGCAATGGGCAGCACTAATTGACTAGTTTTGTTCATGAGATTCCGCCTTTCACTTTAAGTAATCTTTTTCTTTGAGGTGGTATTCAGCGGCTTGTGGACTTAGAGTGGCAGAATACTTAAAGAGTGCAAACATTGATGCTGTAAAACTACCGTGAATATTGTATCTATTATCCTCTCAGGACACTTGTCATGTTATCTTAGTCTTCTACTTCCTGAGCAATTGTTGTCAATCTGATTTGACCATAGATAAGCTGCCTTCCTTGCATTTACTTTCCGGCGTATCCATTTTCTCTCATACATCAATGCCATTTATAACCGGCTTGGTTTGACAAAATTCATAGAACCCTGAACAGATAATACCTTCATCAAAGGCGTTAGCGACTAATAACCTATCTTCAAATTTGATTTAGAATAGTTGCAGTCCAAATAAATTTCCAATAAATCGATGACTAAAAATAGGGATCTGGTAACTTAATTGCTTAACTATATCCAATCAAGATTGTGAAGGTTAAAGTTTCTCTGCCTAATAAGAACTTCGTAGACTGAAATTAAATAATTAAACTGTAAAGGAAATAAGAAAAATTAACGATTTGTGAGGTTAAAACGAGACATCAATTGGTCACAAAGAAGTAGCTTTGTTCACAATATCATTTTTAGTTGTAGTATCAATCTTGAATGAACTTTCAAGAGTTCCGTTAAATCAGACAATATCTTAGCTAGTAAAAAATTTCTGCTCTTGTCTGTTAGAATAGACCGTTTCAATAAATATGGCATGACTAATCAATCAATTTAACTAGTTGGTCAATTTAACATGATTAGTGTCAAAATCAACAACTGCTCAAGAAATTTGACCCAAATAAAATCTTTTCCATGTTCCAGACATTAGTCTTTATCTTAACTCCATAATTCACTCCATTCCTACTGGACAGTTTTATCCTTGTCAATGCTGTTCTCTTCATCTCAAATTAAACTCGAGAATTTCGAGACAATGAACCAAAAGCCAAGTGATTGTTTTTTTAACTCTTGACCCTTCAACGCCATTTTGACCTTACGATCCTCTTTCCAAATAAGCTCCATTGGCACTAGACTCCTAACGGAAATTGATATTACCGTCTGAAACAATACGTGTCTAAAGTCTTCGCCTGATACCACCAAAACACAACATCGGCGACACCAGTTTGCTGTGACACGCGTGAGTGCTGTTGGATGAATTTTTAAGAAAATAATTCGAGCGTTAAAGGGTTAATTGCTAATTTTGTTCGCAGATGAGGATTCAATGAGGTGATTTTACTCAAGACACTATGGTTAAAAATCAGGTTAACCCATTTTACGCTCTACTGCACACACCTTTACCTCCCTTGTCTCGGTTGACTTTCCCTCTCTCTCCCCCTCTCTCTATAGGCTAAATATCTTTCAGATACTTAAGGTACGTTTAAACGTCCTTGAATGACTCATCCACCCACTCAAGGGTTTATGAATGCGTGCTAAAATCATGCGGGCTATCCACGCCATACTCAAATTTGGAGAAAATAATGCACTTAGGTGAAAAGGCCAATTCACATACAATTAAAGCTAATTAACCTGTCGATTAGACTAGAATTCCCACAAAATCCATGACGAAGAAATGCAAAACTCTAACTTTGGAAAGGTAAATAATCATCATTAAATGGATATCGTACAGCTGGATCCAAAAATCGCATAAAGCCCCCTTGATACCCTTTCGATGCGGAAGAGGCAAACACAGATCCTCGCAGTTTTTTTTCCAATTGGCCATTGAACCCTATATTAATCAAACAGTATTTAAATTTATTCCTGGTGTAATCCTCGAAAGTGGAACCATGCGCCATTCGTAAGCATGCTGCTCCAAATTGAATGTCTCCATGGCCTTAAAAGGGGGCGATAGAATGAGTCATAAAGGAAACATTTGTCTCACAAGTAAAAGGACAGCATTCTGTATTTCGTAGGTAGATGTGAGATTTTATATATCAATCAAGGGGTGCGCGATAGACTTACCTCCAAGTGGTACACCCTGGGGGGCAACGTATACTCATACGGCAAAAAAGTCTATTAACCGGCAGTTGACTTCTGACTTCAAACTACCATGACCCTACTGTATCCCATATTCTACCACCGCCACAGTAATCATTTTACCTTTTCTAAGCCTCTGTGTCTGTCTCTTCTACAACTGTAAACCACTCTTCTGTTCCCCACCCATCGACTTTCTGTCACTTTGATGTTCCTCCTCCTCTCTGTGAAGCCCGAAGTCAGCTAAAGGGCTAATGATAACTATCAAAACACCTGCCATTT